TATTTTCAAGGAATTATTTCGTTACTTTTTAGTGTACTGTTTTTTTTTGAGAATATTTTGTTTTGTTTTTAGTGCATTTTGTTTTGTTTTTCGTGTATTTTGTTTGGAAGTCGGTTTTTTAACTATTTGGTATTCTGTATTCTTAAAAGTTATTTGTTAATCTGTGCTATTTATCTTTATTTAAAACAACAATATTGTTAAGAAAATATTAGGAAACGTAAGGAATAGTGGGGGGTAGTTTTATAAAATATACAGTCGCAGTCTCGGCGTTCAGTGTTTTACTAGTCGTCACAACGAAACGTTCGACATATTTGCGTTGTCGCATTGGAGTTCAGTTTGTGTTTTAAAGTAATTTACAAGTATTGTTAATATGGCTGTCCGTCTATATTTTAAAGGTAGTCATTTGTGGAAATATCTAACATAATGTTACCCGAGGTTGTACGTTTGTAATAAAAGTGAAGTGAAATTTATTGGAGAATGTATATGACAACCAAATTCTATTTTAAATAAGCCTTCTCAATCATAGTTTATCACGGTTATGTAACAGCTAACTTGAATTTCAGTTGAAAAGAAAAGATTCCCTTAACCGCGAGCGCATTCAAGGCCAAAATAAATATACTTATGATATTTTGTTTAACTATTTGTATGATAGTAATATGTAATATACGAGCTGTTGCCCGCGACTTTGTCCGCGTGGTATTATAAAACATACGAACTATATAAATAACAAAAAGCTACGTATCCCGGGAACCGGACCTTTCTCGGGGATGAACCTTATCCCATGTGTACTCCAGACTTTGTTTTACATCTGTGCCAAATTTCAATAAGATAGGTTGAACAGTTGCAGAATGATCGAGTAAACATTAAAAAACTAAATTAATGAATCCCACGGGAACCGTAACTATTCCCGGGATTTAAAGTAGCCTATATGTTCTTCCAGACTATGCTCTAAACCTGTGCCAAATTTCATGTAGATCCGTTCAGCCGTTTAGGCTACAAACGCTAACAAACATCCATCCATCCATCTAAACTTTCGCATTTATAATATTAGTAAGATAACATTGGTTTATTAACTTT